CTGAGGCATATGCCGAAAAAGCCCATCAAGAATGGTGAGTGTAACTCACGGGCAGCATGCACTGTGTACAAACAGCGTGTACCGTGTAGGGCCGAGACACTTTGTGCCATGCCCAAGCCCCGTCCACAGCCCCCCCCCACCCAAATCGATCAGTTTTTACGTGGTTGTCTTCCATTCGTCCATGGAAGGAAATATTTGTAATCCGTGTTAGTGATGAAATGGCATGCTACTTTCCTAAGTTGGCCCCAAAACTCAGGACTGCTGCTACGGCACATTAAGTGCTTTGTTTCGAACCAGTCGACTTAGCTCACCACCCCCACTACCACCCCCGTATGCCTACCACGTTTTTTCCAGGGGTGAAGATTTGGGGGGTATGTTGCTGGACCGGGTACTGTTTCACGGGATACACGGACGGCGGCTACACCGGAGATCCGAGGATTCGCATGTGGGCAAATTGTCCCTTGGGGCGAGTATGCCGAATGGTGATTTTAATCCAGTTCGACGCGTGCCCGGCACTTGGGGCGCAGTTGTTTAGGTCAGGGACCTACATGGCCTGCGACAATTATTTCACCTCGCCCATCCTCTTCATGTGTCTGTTGTGGCACGGGATTTTTGCCGTCGGAACTCTGAGGGATACACACCGCGGATCGAAAGAGGCCATCCAGTACTGGTCTACCACGAGACAGTATGTCAGGAAGAAGGGCGAGATGGTCTTCGCGAGGTTCGGGTCCTTGGTGTTCGTGCAGTGGAAGGATTCCAAGCTCGTCAAATTTTTGTCCACAATCCACCTCAGCCCGAAGCACTTTCTTCCGAAGGAGTACAGGTGGGCGCGGTGTTTATGACATTCGTATGGTTCTGATATTCTTGGCACGATATGTGTCCAGGGGTTGGTTGTACGGGTGTGTACGTGTCTAGATGCTGCTGAGGTTCATACCCCAATCATGCTGACACAGAACTCCATACGTTCGGCCCCGTGCGCTCTTGCTGTATTCGTCCACACCGACAGCAAGCACGTGGCGGGACAGGCGAAGAAGGCCGACGGGTTCCAGCCTTGGTGTAGATTTCACTACAACAAGTTCATGGGGGGAGTAGATATATCGGACCAGCACAACGGTGCGTACCAGACACAACACCGTGCTAAAAAATATTTTTGGCGACGTCTATTTGAGCAGAAGTTGATGCAGGCCTGTACGAACGCGTGGTTGATGTTTCGCTGGTGGTTGAGACCCATGCAGAGTGGGGTGAAGGAGGCGATCGATCAATTGGAGGAAAGGGGGGTGTTCGAAGGCGAAGAAACTGCCGATGGGCTGCTTCTCAAGGGGCTGCGAGAGGAGAGCGAGCGTTTCGCCACTATTGAAAAGTAGTCAAGATCAGTTTGGATGAGGGAGCTTAGCTGCTTTCTCATGTCTTCGTGCAATATTGGCAACGCCGAAAAGGGGGGTCGGGGGCGTAAAAGCACCCTTTCAGTGTCGACATTCAGTGTTGAGTTGGGGGGTGGAAACCTTCAAACTCTGAAGGGAACACAACGCTTCTGTTGCATGTCGAGAATGTGTGACGGTCGTACCCCAACCAACCCTAAGCGGAAGAATAAGCCTCGGGGGAGGAAAGTTAAAACTGTCTGCCGGTGCACTCAGTGTGAGAAGTTGGGTGGCGTAGTAATTTGTCGTCAGTGCTTCAACGATAAGGCGAAGCACGCCTCAGCGTTTTCGGCAACTCAGAAGTCCAACAGGGAAAAAGAAAGAATTCAAATGGTGAAGGAGAGGATAGGATTCCTTGAATGACGCGTCTTGCTTACCACGGGTGTTTATTTGCGTGGGCACGGGATCAGAGGGGGTACTCATAGTCAGTCGTGCATGCCGTAGTCGTCAGACCATTGACCTCGCATCGGGGGGGGGGGGGGGGGGGGGACCCCAAAGCCGGGCTGGCCGCAATCCTTTTGACCTTTACCCCCCCCCCCCCAAAAAGCGGGGGGGGACACCCCCGGGTTTTCCCGGAAAAGGG